ATTGGAAGACACCCAGCTGGTGTCCACTGCAGAATTGCTTGGTGTGTGGGAAACACTCCACAGGCACCTGGTTACAGAAGTGTTAAGTGGGTGTGTGAGTAGAAAAAAACACTATGATTTTTCCTATCCATATTATATTCCCACCTCAATTCTAGGTAATCCTTTTAGTTTTCTAACAAGCAAACAAAACAATGAACACCTTAACACTGAGCGCTACCTTAGGAAGCCTTAACTGACTTACAGGACTAAGAAAGGCAAGATGCTTTATGTAAGGTAACAGGTTGTGTATTAAGGTTCCTGGATATTTTGTTTATTTGCCTTTTTTGCATGGAGAATCAAAGCAATAAACAATTTTATGTCAGGCTAATAGTGTGGCTGGAACATGAAATTTACAGAAGTAGTAAAAGCAATGATTTACGTTCTAAACTGAAAGGGTAATCATGTGATCTAAGACTGGCAGAATCAAAAGTCAAAACTGCTGTCAGTCACCTGGAAGTTTTCAAATATTTAGACATTTGGCAGTAAGTAAACAAAAGGTTTGAATAAGTCACAATTTTTTATTTAGCTTTTGAGAAAATTATTTTGGTATGTACATTAAATATTAATTGAGATAGTATATTTCAAATATGCATTTTAAATTGTATAGTAATATAGTACTACCACTATTTTAAAACCTTTGTTATAGCTTTGGTAAGGTAGCTATTCAAAATATACTTTAAATTTTTTATTGCCTGATAGATACTGTCCATATAAAATATCCTTCCAGGGATATGACAATAGAGTAATTTTACTGAAACATTTCCTAATTTTTCCAAGAATATTCTGAACAACCACGTATATGGAAATGTGAAATTTTCAACTAAGTGATGATTTTCTGCAGTCATTGAAAGCAAAATAGAAAAATGCAACTGTGAATCTAGACTCAGAGGTTTAAAAAAAAATCAGGTAGAGTCCTAAACAAATTAAGGCTGTCCTGGTTCATGCTCTGGCATTAATGTTCCATATGAATTTTGCTAAAACACATGCAAGTACTAGAATTTGTGGTCAACGATTGTGGACAGGTTACATTTTCTTTAAATCCAAGATACTTTTAATTGCTCTAGGCCTGTATTATTAAGAAGATCCATTGAAAGAAAAGATAGAATCCTTGAATTTATATTCTTTTTATTTTATGAGATTCCTAGATAAGAATCTTAGGATTATTACGGTGGGGGAGAATTGGGAGGTTAACTTAACTGGGTTATAGCCTTTGCATCATATAAATAATAGTAACAATAAGTAGTTAGCAGATATCAACCATTGGTCTTAGATGCTATTGCAGAATTCTTTTCACAGAAAGAAAACAAATTCCATATTTTTGAAAAAGTTTACAATCTAGTTAAGTTTTGAAAAACAAATACTTTAAGGATTGATATAAAGCAAAATATTAAAAAGTAAGTGTTACAGGGATGCCAAAGAAGACTGGCATTAATGGATAATATTACCTCCAAAAGAGCTGAATATTTGAGGTTGATCTTAAAGAGTATGATGGGTATAAATTAGTGAAGAGTAGGGAGATAGAGTTCCAGACTACAGCAGGGTAAGAACAGGGAAGAAACACTAGTGGAAAGTTATATTTACACACTTTTTCATATAGGTGAGCGTTTAATTTACCTTGAGAATGCAGCATCTAGGAATTGTGCTTTTTGTGCCTCTTTCAGCAGATTTTTTAGTTCATAATTTTCCTCTGGCCCTGGTTGTAAGATATTTATGCTCGATTGTGTTCATTGTTTTTTGTGAACTTATAAAAATTGCTTTTTTATTAGTCTATAAAAGCCATGTTTGGAGACAGCCTAAAATAAAAATTAATGCAACTTATCACCCTACAGCATGGAACAAGTGCCTGTTTCAGTCTCTTATTTAAGCACCGCAGATGCGTTGAAACCTAATAAAAACAGTTCCCTGGCACATCAACCCTAACCAGAGAGTAAGAAGCTAAAAATCTGTGAATCGCCTACAACCAAAGGGGAGTCTTTTGAGAGCTGCATTGTTAAAACTCTGAGAACAGGTATGTTATGTCTAGAGGCCTAAAATCTGGGCTTTGTGAAGAAGCAAATGTTTATGACTTAGTAAATACTCTTCCTCCTTCATCACCTTGACTTTTTAAAACCATTAGTCCTTTAAACTGTGATATGGCACTCTTTGGCTTTGAAATATATCTTGCTGGACAGAAAAGGAAGCTGCATTCTTTATGGTCCTGAAATAATAATTGCAAGTAGTAAGACATATGAGATGTGCTAGTTTAAGGCATGTTCAATAACTATCTCTCTATATCCATGAGGGTGAGGGTCATAGAAAATACATTAAAATGAGCCAGTTTGGAAAATCATAACAATAACAGCAATAATAATGATTATTATTATATTACCAACACAAACACAGCACACAGCCCTGTGGATGTGATTGTTTCCCAGCAGAGAGCTTGGGCCTCCCAGTTTACTTCTGAATGTGTCCAGGGATGCTGTGCAGATGGCCAGTACTTGCAATGTGAGCCAGCTCACTGGTACACAGAAAGCTGGAGTTTGAGAGGAGAGAGCAAATACAAGGTGTGTGTCCTAGACTTTCCCATCTAGCCTTCTCATGAGATAGGCCAACAGCCTTCAACAGGTGATGCTTCCTTCAGTAGCCCCACCTCCCTTGGCTCCTGCCCCTGCCCTGGCTCGGGAGTCTTCATGGGAACAGCGTGCCCTTGTCTTAATCAAAAGCAGCCCTGCGGGGAGGAGGCTCAGAAGGAACTGGTAGGAAAATAGCACTCTAATGCATTTTCCTCAGGTGCTCTCCAGATACGTTCTCAAGGACACATTCATCTGTGAATGCGGATTTTTATTCCTGTGCCTCATTCTGTTGGAGCTGTAGAAAACCAAACTCTCTATCTGGTTAGTTTTTAGGAAAAGTATGCTGGTCCTCCCAAATGTGATAAGAAGCCAGTTAAAATGATCTGGGCATTAAGGCAGCCACAGTGGAAGAATTATAGCTACATAGACACCATCTATACCCCCAGAGCAAGCACATCACATCCAGCTCCTGACCCGATTATCTCTGAGCTATGGCTCTTGTGGCTCGGTCCACAAGTCCATGCCTGGGGTTCCCAGAACACAGACCAACTTGTTGTGCAATGAAGACTTTATGAGAAACTTTGTTTTCTCTTTTCCTAAGGGCCTGAAATCAGCAAGCCAAAAAGCATTTTATCCTAATATAGAAAAGAATTAGACAGCAGATGCTTCTTCACAGCAGCCTGTGTGCTGGGGATAGAAAAAAAAATGGCGTAGCCTTCTCTCTGGCAAGAGTTAGGACTGAATCATCATGGGAGTGTTTGTGGTAAAATTACATTTTTCCTTTAGATAGTGGAATTATTATCACTGGGCTATAGACAGCTAGTCCGGAGTGACTTTGATGAGACATACTCTTTTTCACCACATAAAGAGTGTGTCTTTTGACTCCAAGGGAACAAAATATCCAAGAATATCGTCATGGGAGGAGAGCAGATAGGAGACCCTGGAAAAAAGTTGGCTAAGATCAAGAAGGGAGGGGAGCCAGCAAAGTAATGAAGAGGATTTGTTTTCTTTTTGAACTAAGGATGGGGATTCGGTCATGTCTCAATAATCGGGTGAACACAAAAGGTCATTCCAACGAACAAATTTCCCAGTGGCCTCCATGAAGCAAACTACAAAATCAATTCTATATCATCCAACCAAAGACCACCAGTAGGGACTAGGACGCTTTCTTAGGCTTGATGAGTGAAAATACAATTTTGTCTAGAGGTTTATTCAGATCAGGAAGGGAAAGGAGAAAAGAGAATTATTGAGGAAGTTCCTCCAATGTTGGACAACATTGGATTCCCCCCCGCACCCCCCTCTTTTTTTTTGACAGACCTCACTGTTGCCCAGGCTGGAGTGCAGTGGTGTAATCCGGGCTCACTGCAACCTTCGCCTCCCAGCTTCAAGTGATTCTTGTACCTCAGCCTCCTGAGCAGCTGGGACTACAGGCGCTTGCCATCACACCTGGCTAATTTTTGTATTCTTTGTTAGAGACGGGGTTTCACCATGTTGGTCAGATCAGTCTCGAACTCTGGACTCAAGTGATCCTCCTGCCTCAGCCTCCCAAAGTACTGGGATTACAGGCATGAGCCACCGTGCCCGGTGATTTTTTGCATTTCTAATGCTTTAGGTTTTCATCTTTACCTGGCAGTTGCATAGATATCCAACTTGACTCCTTGCCACTAATGTCTTCTCTCATTTAATCAATTCTTCCAGTTGGCCTTTGTTTTATCTTTCTGAAAGATTAAATTTCCCTCTGCAATCCCTTCCCTTTGCTAGCTCCTCATGAACTATCAAAGTCCAGCTTCTTCAACCTGAACATCATCTATAAAATATGGATACTCCCTGCCTCCTCCAATCCTACCTCCCAACAGTCCTCTGATCCAAGATGACTTTCTTCTCACTATTCCTGGAAGATATCTCCTCTTGCATTTCTATGTATTCAGTTGATTATGTTGTTCTCATCAAAAATGGGCACCTCCTTATATACATCTGCTTATCCAAATCTGTCCACTCCCCAAGCCCCTCCTTCAAGATCATCTTCAGTGCTCCTCCAGATGTGTCTTGCGTATCTGAATTTCTATAGCATCTAATGCTTATACTTTTGTAATTTTAGCACTCCATTTAGGCTTATTCAGATTTTTTTCCAACATTATTATGTATTTGTATAGAATGTCTTCTCCATTGAAAGAAAAATCTCCTCTATGACACGAACTGTGTCACAGACATTTTAATATCCCTCATGATAGTTCAAACAGTTTAATATAAACATTCAAAATCTTTTTGTTCCCAAATCAGTTTACATGTATGTAGCCTTTAAACCTCATTGCCAGCCTTTGGTAATGGGAAAATAAGTCCAAATGAGGCATTCCATTGGAGGCTCTTTTAAAGTCATCATGCTTCTATCTCTCCTCTCCCCACTAGGTCAAGAGCTCAGGGTGATCTTTGAGCTAACGAGGACGCTAGGTGACACCAAGCCCAAACACTCTCTGAGCAAGTGCCTGGTCCTGAGAGGTGATCGAGGTCACACGACTATAAGATATAGGCAGGAACTGAAAAATCACATCTCCAGACTCATCACTTGGTATGTTTTTTCTCCTTTTGTTATATTGCTCCCCAACCTAGCTTTTCTATGGCTGGTGGGCCAGCAAATATTGGTTAATTCAATTTTAGAAAGAAAAAAAAACCCAAAACTAAATAAATGAAAACAGTAAGAGAGAGAAAACAAAATTTAGGGTTGGTGTGAACAGGGTTTTAGCTTTTCAGTTACGTTTCCAATGCTTCAGGAATACAGGGCATGGATGTCAATTATGGCTGTGCTTTTGTTCACTTTGATTCTGTTTTGATATTTTCTTTTTGACATTTTAGAAGTTGCTTTGTATCGAACTAACCACTAACTAACCACATAAGTGGTTGCTTATACCACTAATTATGATCAATTGTCAAAAAAGAGCCACATTATGCCCTCCAAACTGTTGGGTTGCTGCTTCTTTGTTCCAGATAATTCTACCTGAGATAAAGCAAGAATCACAATGTTGGACCTAGGAAGGTAACTACCCAAAGGGGATTCTAATGAAAATATTGATGAAATATTCAAAGTGGACAAATGCATAAAATGTGAAAAAAAAGAGTAGAAATTTGATGCATTTTAGAAATACTCTAAGAATCATTACATTTATATTTTAGGATGCCAAGAGGTATTTCTAGAAGGAATAAAATTAACGTATCAGTATGGTTTTATAGAAAGAATTCTAAAGCAAGGTTTAAAAGTCCTTGAATTTAGCTGTTTTTCAAGGTATCAGTCATTAAATTCCTTGATTCTCAGTTCCCCCATCAGATGAGAATTACACAACTCACATATTTGCTTTTATTATTAGAAATATATATAAAAGTATGGGAAAATGTATTTACATATTGAATTTACTTTTTGTGGACTTAAAGAAGGGTTGTCCCCTGGGCTGAGACTTATTTTACTGGTTGTGTTATACTGATTTTCCATGTGCATTTGCTAGGAAGAAAATAGTAATAGGATTTTTACTTTTTAAATGTGAGGCTTACCAATCAGGCTCCAAGATGGATGAATTCAACCATATAGCATACAATTTTTTATTCTTTATGCTTCTTTGTTATCTTCCCTCCATTTCTCTCCACATCCCACATTCCATCACCCCATTCTGATCACTGTCAATCACTGCACTGTTTTTTCCTTGCTCTAATGTCCTAACCAGATAGATCCACAACTGACAGGAATTTATCGGGAGAGACACAACAACTCACAACATACAAGCCATATATGAACCTGACAGCCCTATTAGGGGTGGATGCGCACAGGATAATGATAGAGCCGTTGACAAATAACTAGCAGTTTGGCTCATTTACACTGAAGAGTTTTGCACGCTGGGGTTGTTTTGTGCCCATTTATTGCACCTTCATAGGCAGTATAAATCCGATTTAGTCCACTTAACCCTCTACTGTGATTTCTGCTGAGAATGCACTTACATAGTCTCACGGTAAAAGAGATTATCAGAACTGAGCAAAAAACAAAACCAAAAACTTACTTTCTAATTTTCTTTCTCATAATCACCTTTAGGATCACTACAGATCAAACATAACTAGTGTTTCTGCAAAGCAACATCCTTTTTTCATATGTGCAAAGGTAATTCTGTTAACATAATAGTTATTTACAATCTAAGTAGGTCTCTGTTTCTGCTTTCAGCTTGGTGTAGTTTATAGCAGACCAGTGTTAAGATCCAGAAAAAAAATCAGATAAAACAAACATGTAGAAAATTGAAATGTAAAAATAATATATGCTATTTACAATAGCTCAAAAAATATCAAATACTTAAGAAAGACATGCAAGACCTCTGCACTGAAAATTAAAAACAGTATTCAGACACACTTAAAAACTTGCAAATAGAAGCATATTCCATGTTATAGACTGATGACTCAGTATTTTATTTTTTAATTAAATTCTAAAAATATTCTCAGAGTCAGGGGATGAATTGTAAAGTGTACATTTTATGAACTATGTCCCAGTTCTGGCCACAGCGTCTTACTGATTTCAGCTGCCGACGACTACCTGCTCCCCAGAGAGGACCATTTTATATCTTAATGGTGTCAAAACGAGGGTTACTTCATTTGCAGTTCTGTAAAACCTACAGTCAGATGGGTATGGTGACAGGATCTGGTATAAGCAGTAATCATATTCAAAATTAACATACTAGGGGTTGCTAAGTTGCCTATAACCAATCATAGAAAGGGTGTGAACTAACACATGTAGAATGATTAATAACAGTGTAGTGAGTTAACTAGTGTCCACTCCAAATTCATGAGACACAATTTTTTCAAGGTTTTCTGGTATTTCCAAAGTAACATATATGGTTACTACAATTCCTATCAAGATGCCAACAGGTTTTGCTGCTGTTGCTGTTGTTGGGCTGTTGCAATGGTGGGGTGGGGGTGTGAAGATTGTCGGGCTTATTTAAAAATATATATGCATATGACAGGCTACCTTGTGGAAACACAACGTTGAAGGACTAACACCGTCAGATATCAAGATTTGTTCCAAAGTTCCATAATTAAGACAATGAGGTGTTGGTTCAATGACAGACCGTCAGATATCAAGATTTGTTCCAAAGTTTCATAATTAAGACAATGAGGTATTGGTTCAATGACAGACCAATACAACAGAATAGAGAATCCAGAAATGGACTCACAAATATATAGTCTCCTGGGGCATAACAAAGTGTAACTGCAATGCAGTGAAGGAAAATATTTTATTTTCAATAAATGATGTCAGTTGAAATGTATATTTGTAGAGGAAGAATTAGTTTAAATTATAATTTAAGGCGGCTCATAGATACAAATGTGAAAGGTAAAACCCTAGGACCTCTAGAAGAAAAGATAATATTTTCATGAAACTTGGGGAGAGAATGATTTTTTAAAACAGGACTCAAAAAGCACTAATTATAAATAAAACTTTGATTAAGATTAAAACAGTTTCATTAAAACACACCATTAGGAGAGTGGTAAGGCAAGTTACAGAGAGGGAGAAGACATTGGCAATGCATACACACACACACACACACATATATACACACACAAAAGACTTATATTAGGGATACATAAACTCTTACCTATCAGTAACAAAAAGATATGTCAGTAGAAAAATGAGGTAAGGATTTCAATAAGCACTTCTCCAAGAAACACATCCAAATGGCCAATAAAAATATGAAAAAATCTACCTTCATTAGTTGTCAAGGAAATTCTGACTAAAACATAAAACTCCTACGATACAACCAAATTGACTACAATAACAAAGACTGACAATAGCAAGAGATTGTAAGCATGTAGGGCAACTAGAAGCCTCACACACTGCTAATGGGTGTGAAAAGTGGTACAGCTGTTTGCAAAAGTTTGGCAGTATCCATTGATATATATAATATGCATAGTTTATTACCTAAATGTTTGTGTTCAACAGAAATGCATATGCGTGTGTTCCCAAAATACTATTTGTAAGAGCACAAATACTAATAGATATTTAATCTATTGTTGATACCTGCAATAAGATACTATACAGCAATTGCTATCACATGAATGACTTGATAGCATTGCTATCACATGAATGACTTGAATAATCGCTGCACACACTACTGAGTGAAAAAAAACAGACATAGAAGAGTACACACTATATAATCCGATTTATGTAAATTTCAAATACTGGCTAAACTATGTTGTTAGAAGTCATGAGAGTGATTACTTTTTGGGGAATTGTGACTGGGCAGGGCATGGGGCTTCTTGGGTGTTAATGTTCCATTTCTTAGTCTGATAGTTAAAGGGGTGTGTTTACTTTGTTCAAATACATCAAACTGAGCACTTGAGATTTTTACACTTTTCTACATGCATAATATACTTCATTAAGAGCTTTCTCAAAAACAATCCAGATCACCTATTCCTTCTGCTTCTACTAATCACTTTAAGTCATTTAATGCAATTACTGTTGCTCTCTAAAATTGCTAAGTAATATCAGTGCAGTATGTAGAACCTGGTCTAAAATAATCAGGAAATTCCAACTTTAACGATTTCATGTTGTCTTTTAAAAATCAACACACATACAATCAAGCTGTCAAGGACCCAGCTTGTCTATCGGAGATAGGAGATTCAGGCCAAGAAGAGAATTTTAATATGGCCATGCATTATCTATAACTTGTAGGATGAATAAAGATAAGAATTAGAGTGGACTTAACTGAAAATAGCCTTGTGATAAAAACAAGTCACTTTATTTCAATGACACTCACTTCCACTGTGATTTTTATCTTGTGCTTATTTAGTTCCTAGGCCCAAACCAAGCCTTCTCAGGTTTTTTTTTTTTCTTTTCATTCTTTTCTTTTTTTATTTTCTTCAGCTCTGCAAAGTCAATGTAACCTATGGAAATGGAATTGCCCTTTTGCACAATGTCACTGAAGACATAGTAGAGAAGGAAAGCAAGTGTGAAGCCAAAAGTATTTGTGAAGTCTGAACTACCTGTTCTGAACTTAAATTTCAAAAACATTGTTTGAAGTGACTCTGATATTATTTTTATTTACTATATTAGAAACAGCCCTTTCTTAGTTCACACTTGCAAGCTAGTCACATAAATTAAAGCAGGATCTCATGAGGGCTGATGAGAGAGAGGAGAGAGAGAGAGAGAGAGAAAAGACAGGTAACTTCATACAGGCAAGCGTAAGTATATGTTTTAAGTAAGACTTTGAGGGGACATTGCCAGATTAAAATTCTTGTCCTTAATTTTTCAAATGATACCCTCCTTAGTAAATTTAAATACTATGCCAACTTCAATTCATTCAGATACATCACCTACAATATTAATTTAATTGCTCCTCTATTCCATTCTGGTTTCTCTTGTTGCTCTGACTTTACATTTGGTCATCAAAATATAAAGACAGAGTCACCTCAAAGCAATTTCCCCAAAGGCATGGAAATAAAATAACTTGGGGCATTTTAAAATGTAGCTTGAAAGTTCTAGGTAAGAAAATATAAAACTAACGAGAATGAGAGATGAGAGGGTAAGCAGCCATCCTTAATCTAGTCCTGAGAGATTAGGATGATGACACCTTGTTGTAACAGGAATTCTTTGAGAAGGCGATGAAGGGTGAATAAATGGGTTGTCACTGGCCATTTTACTTAAGGATGTTTGCACCACTATGGTTATGTACCTTTAGAAGACTTCAATTACCTGAAGATGAGGTTAGATATTAACAAAGCCATGTGAAATTTACTGTGATCGGCAAATAGCTCACCACAGGTGAATCTGGAATTATACTCCTCCAATTTAGCAAGGAATAAACTGGAGTTGTCTGACAGGGACAAAAAAACTGATATTTAGTAAAAGACATTTCACAGAAGGTCTGTTCAGAAGGAAATAAAATTTAATTTCTAACAATTTTTTGTGGCTAAAATTGCATTTTAAAAATGTAATAAGCAGCCTCAATAGAAACTCATATAACCAACTGAACCATGCTTATACACACAGCAGTTTTCACCACCTCTTAAGAGACAACAGCTGATTCTTTTGATCTGCCTGCTTCCTAGACAAAAGTTCACGGTCTCTGAATTAGCCCCATATTTGGAATCATAGCCCTTTTTTTTTTTTAAATCTATGTACGTTCTTATTGAGCAAATCCTGCACGCTAACTTGCTGCAGAGTAAATCACTGTATGGTCTAAGACGAATGAGCACTCTTCTCCTCCCCCTCATCACCAGTGCTTTATTATATGTCACAGCAATAATGATGGCATGAATAAAGAAACAGTAATCAAACTATCCCACTGTAAATGGCAAGTTTATACTGAGGCTCAAACCATATTCTATTTAGGTGGAGAAATGGGTATCTTTCTCAATGAAATATAGAAAATATCCTATGCTACAGTTGTGGCTAATGCTTCTCTGTAACCAATCTAACAATGTTGGAAAGTTATTAGAAGTCAACTTTTTCCAGGGCTGGTACTTAGTGATATATACGTGAACTTGGACACTGGAAACCTCGGCATGAATAGCTTCACCAAGATAACTGGGCATTCATCATGTCCCATTCAATAAAATAAAGAAGTTAGAAAATAATGCACTCTGTGACATCTTGTATCTGCCATGTAAAATTTTAATCATGTATATGACCTTGCATTTGTAGGATATAGTAAATTCCTCTTCAAAGGTTTTAGCCTGTAATTTGTTAAGTACAATGAGTTCTGAGATCCTCCTTAAAGAACCAATGTATCAGTATGTTCAGCTCCCCTGTTCTTTGTTCTCCATTTTAAAATTTAACTTCCTTGTTCTCCTCACCCCTAGTTTCAGTAAACAACCTTTCCCACCAGTTCTAATCAATAGTTCACAACTGTTCCTCTGGTCACCTGCTCTGTCTTGAGTCACTCCTAGTCACCTGCTCCATCCTGAGTCACCCCTGGTCACCTGCTCTGACCTGAATCATCCTGAGTCACCTGTTCTGTAACTGCCCTTCCGACCAAACTACTCACCCCGGCACTATGGCTAGTACCCCTGCTTTCTTTCAAATAGCCAATCAGAATTAGCTTAGACTGTGTAGTCCAACCCTAGCCAATAGGGGAATGACACAGCAGTAGGGGCTACCAGCATCAGGAATAAAAACCCCTTCCCCTCCCTTGTTTGGGTGTGCTCGCCATTGCTCCTTCCGTGAGTCATACCCTTCTATGGAAGTAAAATTGCCTTGCTGAGAAAATTGAATTTATGTTTGAGTGCTATTTCTTTTGCTGCACCAAAAATTTATTTATAACACATTTATGAATCTGTATTTGCTAATAATGGCTGCTATTGAAAGATCAGAGAGCTTAGAAGCAACTTTCATCTATATTTTTTGTAAATAAGGTGATGCTGATTCTAGATCTTACCAAGGTGTTAGACAAAACAAGTTATTCCATTGAGTGAAAAATGAAGAGCTTTTGACCCCAGCCTTCTAATACTACACTTGCCTCAGTACCCATGGAAGGCAAATCATTTATACACTAATACTCACATTTGCATTTTATAATTGGTATGGTAGTAAATAGTTTATAAGCAAAATGAAATTCAGTTTAGTTATTAGGAATTCATGTTCACAAAAGGCAAAGATACAAGTGTGTAGCTGGTTTATCAGAATAGGAAAGCAAAGGATTATATGGATTGAGAATGCCAGAGAATTCAAAGATAGAAAGAAAGTTGTGATTCATGTCGCATGTTAGATATGGACTAGGAGCTGAAACCCAAAGAAGTTCAATTACTTGTCCAAGTTCATATAACTAGTTGGGGGTGAAACCAGGGCTATAAGAGAAATCTCTTCTTTGTGATCCAATTCTTACACCACAATACTGTGCTTCTTTTTGAAGATTAGATTTTCATATCTGTAGCTCAATACATTTTAATCATATATCTCAAAATTTCCTTCTAAGTGATTGTTAGGTAAACACGTTTATTTTCAAAAGTAGCAGTATTGCCTCAGGAGGTCACCAGGAGCTTTTAATGCAGTTTTCATTGTCAGTTGTTCTGCCCCAGCTGAAAGCAACAGTCTCCAGGCTCCTGTGCAACCCAAATTCAGAATGTGTTAAAATCCCTGGAGACCGCTCTGCCATGGGGCCCTAAAGAATTCATACAGTCACTAACAAGAGTCCAGAAATAAATTTAGTGGCTAAAATATGGTACCTTGAGTCCCCACATAATGTGAGGCTGTGGGTTCTCCGCCAAAAGTGGGGTCTACAATGTTTGACTCTGTAAGCTTTAGTGTGAAGAAAACCAGGGCTTGGAGGACATCTGAAACCCTCATGACTTTTTAAAAAAATTTTTCCCTCTTGAATTTTAAATAGAGCTGAGCTGTGAGAATCCTTTTAAAGTTTTTGACAATTTCCTAAAATATAGTGTGCACATTGCCACTGCCAGGTGATATGAGTAGAGCTCATTTCACCCAAGTCTTACATTGAAAACCAGAAAGCTAAAAGAGACCGTGACTCTTTTTTCAATTAAAAATACCAATTTGACAGATATTTTACTCACAATAACCTGGTAACAATCTACCCAAATGGCATGTAGTCATGCATTTTCTTTTTCTCCAAGGACTAGCTATGTCTCATGATTTTCACATATATTATGCAGAAGAAGAGGAAATGTTCAAAGAGGATGCTTAGCTCAAGTGAGTACTCAGTGAATGCGTGGAAGGGAGAACCATTAAGAAAACTGAAATAAGAAGAGAAGCAAGTCATTGTGGGAGAGGGATCGATAGGCACAGCTGGTATATCATGCATCTATCCATCCAGTTAATATTTATAAAATAAACTCCATTTTCTTGCAATAAACTCACCGTGTTACAGCAGAAACCGATCAAAAAGGAAACAAAGAAACAGATAATTATTTACAGGTACATATCCTGGTGGATTTTTCCAGCAGACAGGTTGGAAGTACTAGCTTGGGGATGAAATAAAAATTTACAGATGTTTGTATGGGAGAGGGTAAACAAGGAGTATAATAATTCTTACAAATGGCACCAGAATTCCTTTTAAGGTGGGAATTATGTTTGTTGGGAAATATAACTTAATTGCTTGGGGGAAAAATCGAGATCCTTGTTATTGGTTGGTTCCAAGGTCTCCAAGAATAGAGCTAAGTTGTTCTGTTAGATAAAAGGGTGGTATGTGTGTTTGATTGGGTGGGTAGGAGGGGAGTGCAGGATGGGGAAGACTAGAAGATTCTAGAGCACTTCTAAAAGTGGGGTCTGCAGAATTCTAGGGGTTACTGATACTCTTCTAAAGGACCTGAGAAGTCTAAACTATTTATAAGATAATACTTTGGTGTTACTTGTTTTTACTTAATAACATTGACATTTGTACTATTGGTACAAATGCAATGGTTGGTAAAACTGCTGGTGCCTGTGTGAATGAAGGTAGTGGCACTGAAAGATATTTTGTAAAGCTAATCTAATTTAAAAACAACTTTTGGCCTTGTGCAGTGGCTCACGCCTGTAATCCCAGCACTTTGGGAGGCTGAAGTGGGAGAATCATGTGAGCCCAGTAGTTTGAGACTAGCCTGGGCAACATAAGGAGATCCTGTCTCTACGAAAAAATTTCTAAAAATTAGTAGCATGTGGTGGTGCATGCCTGCAGTCCCAGCTACTCAAGAGGCTGAGGTGGGAGGATTGTTTGAGCCCAGCAGGTAGAAGCTTCAGTGATCCGTGCTTGTGCCATTGCGCTCCAGCCTGGGCAACAGAGTAAGGATCTGCCTCAACAGAAAGTCTTTCATAAGGCAGTAAACGTTGTTAATTTTATCAAATCTTTTTTTTTAATTTTTGTAAATTATTTTATTTTATTTCTTCCTTGATGAAGGTACTATCAAGGTACTGTCTTCAAACCAGTACAAATATTTCATACTTAATACCTGGTCATTTTCTAACCAATTGAGTAATTTGTTGCACAGTAAGCTACCTCACATCTTTCAGCAAGAAATACATTAAATCTGAATAGTAAAGACATTACATAATGAATTAGGACACAATTAAAATTTGCTTTAAATATTGCTTTGTGGGAGAGGACACCATACTTCTACTCAATGAAGAGAAACATTTCTGCAGTCTAGAGGTCTTTTATTTTTTAACACCTACGAGGCCATGAATTCATAGAGAAGAGGTTCCAGCAGCTCAGGCTCCTTCCCATTGGTTCTCACACAGTGTGCTTCTCTGGGTAGAGCAGGCTGGTGCTTCAATTGAACCCGGGGACCTTTCTCTTTGGCTTCTTTCTTTTTCTGATCATTATCCTTCACGCGTTTCAGGAAGCTATCTCAGCTCTTAGAGTGCTTAATGTGCTCAATACGCACATTAATTCTCTTGGCAAGAATCTTACCCTTAACTTGTTTGTTTACAACAATGTTACAGCATGCTGGGGAACACTGTAGACTCTCCCAGTTTTGCCATGGTGACATTGTGGGCATTCCTTTTTGAACAGTACCCATTCCCTTGATGGCTACAATATCACCTTATAGATTTGCACATACGTAGCCAAAGGAACAACTCCATGCTTTTTAAAAGATCTAGAGAACATATATCAGGTGCCTCTCCTCTTTCCCTTTGTGTTCGTCATTTTGGTGAATTACTGGAAGATGGCAGTTCCGGCCAAAAGAAATGATCAAATCTTAATTCTTGAGTTTATATCTCCCTTTCCAAGCATGTATCTGGGCATGGTCATATTTTCTTCATAAACTTCAGCAAAAACTATTATAACAGGTAGAATGCAGAAACAGGTATGAGAATCAACCATCTTCTATTATGCCAAAAATTAAATAGGTTTGCAAAAATAAAAACAATGCCATAGTTCATACGTCGTAGAGCAGCTATGCCACCCAATACAGTAGCCACAGCCACAAGTGATGATTCACATTTAAATTAACTAAGATTAGAGTAAATATCTAACTCTCAGTCATACTAGCTCACTTCAAGAGCTCAATGGCCACATCAGCACAGAATGCATTTCCATTTTCACAGAAAGTTCTACTGGGCAGCATTGTAATAGAGTATACATATAAAGGTGATTTTTATTCTGTGTTTCTAGACAAAAATGAAGTTTTTAAGAAAAAAAGTGAATACTTTCATTGTAATGCGTAAAAATAAGCATTTTTCAATAAAACTGGTCTCTGTTCTCCTCTTCAACTTCACTTCTTTTGGGCACTCGGAATCTCCAATTCCCACTGTCAGTCATTTCAGATCAAGGATCAGATGAAGTAAGCATATTTATTTACTCCATAGCCCAGAAGGTGTCAACCCCAGGCTGTTCCCAAGCAATAAGGTCATCTTCAGTCAAAAGTCCCCGAACTCAAGTGACCCTGTTGTCGGTAGAGCTCTTCTGTTGTCAGAAGGAAGACAGAGAAGGCAAAAAAATTCTTCTTTCTAGCATGAATTCAAGTTACCCTCTCAAACCTTCTTAATAGCACATTTGCCCCCAAAGTCACAGTTCCCTCTTCTGTGTCCAAATCTGCAATACTTATGACACACATTTCGAAGAATATGGCTCTACCCCAGAGATTTAAGATTGCTAGAAACTGGGACAAGAGAATGCCGGTTAGCAGATGCCAATGCTTTACTTTCCCAATATTTTCTCTTCCTGTGATAACAACCATCATCATTCTTTTTTTAGGAGACAGAAACCCATGCACAGAAATTTGTGTGCTGTTATTCGCAAGGTAACGATATTTGAGTGTTTACTCTCACGCTGGTGTTAATTAGTTCACAGCATATTTAAGTCTGGGAACAAGGCAAGTCACCTAACATCTCCGAAGGACATCTTTTACACAGCTACATTATGTTCTGACAAAACCCAAGCAGCATTGCCAAGACACCAATGGTGCCTGGTAAACACGGTTTTGGCAGAGTGCAGAGGGATTTTTCTCTACTGGCAACCAGGCAAATCCAGGTTTACAAATGTGCCACTCTTGGTTAATTAGTGACAGTGCTGGCTTTTAATTTAATTTAAAGCAATGTGAGAAAAAAATAAGGAAAAAAAAAAGTGGGTAAACAAGCACACTAGTCTCACTGCTGGAGAAATGAAGTTACATAAGCATGAACGATCCAGGCCTGCAAAGAGCTTGATGGATGTGGTTGCTTCTGAAACACAAGAACATCTGGTCACACTGCACAGCTGAGGGGGAAAAAAAAGAAGGGTCCAAATTCATGGACACATTTCTGTCAGAGACATCGGTAAACAGATGGCACTGGTTCCAAATAAAGTCCCATAGATATGCTGAGAGGTTTTGAAAACTCATGTGCCCATAAAGGCATTCTTTCTACCCCTTTATTTCCAGCTCAGTAACTTGTCATTAACTCCTTCCCTATGCACTATCTTCAGAGCAGCGACATTTCTGAAGGCAGAGGCAGTAGTCGTCTGAAGGCAGAGGCAGTAGTCGTCTGAAGAGGTTCTGTGCCGTGCTCTTATCCTCGACCAAGTCTGACAGATGTGATGAGGAAGAACCACATACCACGATCTAGGATTTCAGTCTAGGTGGGAACCGTACTGCTACAAGAACCAAAATGCTCCAGATAAATGAAAGGCTAATAGATAGTAATGGCCAGCATTTATTGAACACTGAATATCAGACATTGCTTGTATTATCTCATGTAATCTTCATTCATTTTATATGGTGGCTACTATTATAATAATTTAAATTTTAAGGATGAAGTTCAGATACACTGGATACCTGAAGTTATCTAATTAGTCAGCAGCAAGCTTAAAATTCATATTCCGGTCCCTGCTGGCAAAATAATAGGTTCCTAATTACTTCACTGTCCTGCTGATGAATATTTTGGGATAAATCATGTACTTTTCATTTGAGGCAGACAAGTCCCAGGCAATAAGAAGGTAAGATGCATCATTTAGAGCAGTAAGTTGCTGTAGTCTTTTGAATAGGAAATCATATGTTGTTGAGCAAATATGTCTAGAAACTGAAATTTAAGAGATTTTTGCTTCTTTCTATGATCTGCTTCTGGTCCAGAAATCTCTTACACATGGAGAGGGGAGGACAGAGAGCGGCAGCTGAAACTCCTTGGAAAGCCAGCAGAAGCCTGTGCTTGCTGCAGAACCAGAACCCCACAGGTTTCGCCCATTGCCCCCACTCAGCTGAAACCAATCAGGAACAGAGTTATTACTCCTAGGAAGAGGACATATCAAAGTTCCTTGTTGCCTTGCTGTTCTAATAGATGATCACAAATACCCACAAACATCAATGTCATCCATGAAGACGAGATACAATAGAAATTAAAAGCATTGGCACGGTGGCTCATGCCTGTAATCCCAGCACTTTGGGAGGCCGAGTCAGGTGGATCACGAGGTCAAGAGATCGAGACCATCCTGGCCAACATGGTGAAACCCCGTTTCTACTAAAAATACAAAACTTAGCTGGGCGTGGTGGTGCACACCTGTAGTCCCAGCTACTCGGCAGGTGGAGGCAGGAGAATCGCTTGAACCTGGGAGGTGGAGGTTGCAGTGAGCCGAGACTGCGCCAGAGCAAGACTCTGTCTCCAAAAAGTAAAATAAAATAAAATGAAATAAAACAAAACAAAAACACAAATATATACAGACTTAAACACCTTGAACACAATGGTCTGCAGAGAATCTATGCAATCCTACAGCTCTGAAAATCAGACCAGATGCAGGCAAC